CTTCTTCTACCATATGGATTGAGGGATTTTATCCTAATTTAGTCTGGAGCATCCTTGGACAAAAGGGACTCAATTTCGTATAAACAGCAAGTGTGGCCTACCTGGGGACAGAAGGGAGGGGCCCAATAGGGGAAACATAGCAAATTCTTCAAATACCTGCTTCTTCTGTACGAATGACAGGATTTTGTCCAAATTTGGTATGAAGCATCATTGGGTAAAGGGGAACCAATTTTGTATAAACGGTGTGTCTAACCCCCCTGGAGGCAGAGAGGCGGGGCCCAATAGGGGAATAGAGATAAAACATTTAAAATCCTTCTTTTACCATAGGGATTTAGGGATTTTATTCTAATTTAGTCTGGAGCATCCTTGGGTCAAGTGGACTCAATTTTGTATATGCAGGTGGTGTGGTCTCCCAGGGGGCAGAAGGGCGGGGGCCAATAGGAGAAATAGAGGTAAACCCTTTTAAATCCTTCTTCGACCATCGAGATTAAGGGATTTTTTCCATATTTAGTCAGGAGCATCCTTGGACCAAGGGGTCTCAATTTTGTATAATTGGTGGGTATGACCCCCCTAGGGGCATAGGGGTGGGGCTCTGTTTGAAGTTTGTTCTCGCTATATCTCAAGTACTGGATGGATCTTTCTGAAANGATTCGAAACTAATAGGTCAAAAAATATAAATTGTGTACTCTGCACCTATAAAACTATTTCTTTTCCAACTGATGGGTGCTGATTTTAGCGACAAATAATTGTATTACGCGATTGTCGTGTGCGATAACCAGCTAAACAGAAGACAAGTTACACCAAAGTCGGCTGTCGTGTGTACACGACAACGGGGATGAGACGTCATATAATTGTGTCGTCTATACACGACAACGGGGACCAGGATGACATATTGTTGTCGTGTGTGTACACGACAACGGTACGGAAAGAGATTTAAGTGAGACGCTAAAGGCATTTTACAGATGTTTTGCTGTAATTCACATGACCATAACATATTATTTGTCTTTTTTGTCTCTTTACAGGAACTCCTTGGCCCTTGATAGGTCCGAGCAGGCAATAACAAAATGATAATGAAAGGAAGAAAAGTGAAAATCTGCTTTCTGCTGCTTGTGTGTTTTGTCCCTGTTCTCTTGTATCTCTACACCTATAATAGTTCTAGCATAACTGATTATTCAAGGAGACGCGAAGGTGTTCAAATGTACAACACCAGAAGCTGGCGGAACACTACAACTAAGTATGTGTTAATGTGGACCACATTTTGGTATGAAATGAACCCCTGGTTAAATAATGTGTCAACTGCTTTTGCTGACAGCGAATATGACTGTGTGGTTACCACTGACCGCTCAAAAATCGACACTGTTGATGCAGTTGTTTTTCATTATGTCGACCTTACGATGGATCTACCAAAGTACCGAAATTCTAAACAAGTATGGATATTATACAACGTTGAACCACCTCCAATTCTCAGTTTGAATTTTCTTCATGGTAGTTCATTTGATGCAATGTTTAACTGGACAATGTCATATAGAAAAGATGCAACAGTTTTGGCCACATATGGTGAAGCTGTTCCTCTTTCCAAAAAAGAGCGTGCCACATTCCAATCTAAAAATTACTCTAAAAACAGAACGAAAATGGCGGCGTCAGTAATCGGTAATTGTTATGATGACGGGAAACGATACAGAATTATACATGAACTTTCCAATTATATCCACATTGACCAGTATGGGAAATGTGGGATATTGTCTTGCCCTGTCAGCAACTCAAAAGTCTGTAAATCATCGGATTATCGGTTCAGACTTGCTTTTGAAAATAGCAACTGTAGAGACTATGTATCAGAGAAATTTTGGAACGCACTCGCGGAAGAAGTGATCCCTGTCGTCAACTGGCATTATTCTAATCAGAGACCTCCCTTTGTGCCACCGAAATCATATATCAATATATATGACTTTGATTCAGTGGCTGCGTTAGGAAAATATTTAAACTTCGTGGCAAATAATGACGAAGAATTTAACAGCTATTTTGAATGGAAAAAATATTACCGTGTCCAAACGGGATCTACATCTACAACCATGTGTAAAGAGCTTCATCAACCCAAACTAGATCAAAGAATTAAGAGTCTGTCGGGATGGTTACAAAATGACACTTGCACAATGAAAACTGTAAGTAAACTGTTGTGTAATCATTTTAAAATACTACTGATCCTGGCAGAAACCATTAGGGAATATTGCACACTATATAGATCCTTCGTCAGTGCATACTTTGTGCATTGTATACTTTATACATGTCTGATAGTATCAGTTTATATGAAATTCATATTTCATTAAAGCAATCCATACTCCTTATCTTTGTATTATATGTATGTAAGTATACATTGTGTACCTTATACTAGACTGACTGTTGTAGTATATATTACCGCTATATAGTGGTACCTTATACTAGACTGACTGTTGTAGTGTATATTACTTCTGTATAGCGTGTACCTTATACTAGATTGACTGTTGTAGTGTATATTACCTCTATATAGCGTGTACCTTATACTAGATTGACTGTTGTAGTGTATATTACCTCTATATAGTGTGTACCTTATACTAGACTGACTGTTGTAGTATACATTACCTCTATATAGTGGTACCTTATACTAGACTGACTGTTGTAGTATATATTACATCTATATAGTGGTACCTTATACTAGACTGACTGTTGTAGTGTATATTACTTCTGTATAGCGTGTACCTTATACTAGATTGACTGTTGTAGTGTATATTACCTCTATATAGTGTGTACCTTATACTAGACTGACTGTTGTAGTGTATATTACTTCTATATAGCGTGTACCTTATACTAGATTGACTGTTGTAGTGTATATTACCTCTATATAGTGTGTACCTTATACTAGACTGACTGTTGTAGTGTATATTACCTCTATATAGTGTGTACCTTATACTAGACTGACTGTTGTAGTATACATTACCTCTATATAGTGGTACCTTATACTAGACTGACTGTTGTAGTATATATCACCTCTATATAGTGTGTACCTTATACTAGATTGACTGTTGTAGTATATATTACCTCTATATAGTTGTACCTTATACTAGACTGACTGTTGTAGTGTATATTACCTCTATATAGCGTGTACCTTATACTAGATTGACTGTTGTAGTGTATATTACCTCTATATAGTGTGTACCTTATACTAGACTGTATGTTGTAGTATATATTACCTCTATATATTGTGTACCTTATACTAGATTGACTGTTGTAGTGTATATTACCTCTATATAGTGTGTACCTTATACTAGACTGACTGTTGTAGTATAAATTACCTCTATATATTATGTACCTTATACTAGACTGACCGTGTAGTATATATTACCTCTATATAGTGGTACCTTATACTAGACTGACTGTTGTAGTGTATATTACTTCTATATAGCGTGTACCTTATACTAGATTGACTGTTGTAGTGTATATTACCTCTATATATTGTGTACCTTATACTAGACTGTCTGTTGTAGTATATATTCCCTCTATTTATTGTGTACCTTATACTAGACTGACTGTTGTATTATATTTTACCTCTATATAGTGTGTACCATATACTAGACTGACTGTTGTAGTGTATATTCCCTCTATATAGTGTGTACCTTATACTAGACTGACTGTTTTAGTATATATTTCCTCTATATATTGTGTACCTTATACTAGACTGACTGTTGTATTATATTTTACCTCTATATAGTGTGTACCATATACTAGACTGACTGTTGTAGTGTATATTCCCTCTATATAGTGTGTACCTTATACTAGACTGACTGTTGGAGTGTATATTACCTCTATATAGTGTGTACCTTATATTAGACTGACTGTTGTAGTATATATTACCTCTATATATTGTGTACCTTATACGAGACTACCTGTTGTAGTATATGTTACTCTATATAGTGTGTACCTTATACTAGACTGACTGTTGGAGTGTATATTACCTCTATATAGTGTGTACCTTATACTAGACGGACTGTTTTAGTATATATTACCTCTATATATTGTGTACCTTATACTAGATTGACTGTTGTAGTGTATATTACCTCTATACAGCGTGTACCTTATACTAGACTGACTGTTGTAGTATACATTACCTCTATATAGTGGTACCTTATACTAGACTGACTGTTGTAGTGTATATTACCTCTATATATTGTGTACCTTATACTAGATTGACTGTTGTAGTATATATTACCTCTATATAGTTGTACCTTATACTAGACTGACTGTTGTAGTGTATATCACCTCTATATAGTGTGTACCTTATACTAGATTGACTGTTGTAGTATATATTACCTCTATATATTATGTACCTTATACTAGACTGACCGTGTAGTATATATTACCTCTATATAGTGGTACCTTATTCTAGACTGACTGTTGTAGTGTATATTACTTCTATATAGCGTGTACCTTATACTAGATTGACTGTTGTAGTGTATATTACCTCTATACAGCGTGTACCTTATACTAGACTGACTGTTGTAGTGTATATCACCTCTATATAGTGTGTACCTTATACTAGATTGACTGTTGTAGTATATATTACCTCTATATAGTTGTACCTTATACTAGACTGACTGTTGTAGTGTATATCACCTCTATATAGTGTGTACCTTATACTAGATTGACTGTTGTAGTATATATTACCTCTATATATTATGTACCTTATACTAGACTGACTGTTGTAGTATACATTACCTCTATATAGTGGTACCTTATACTAGACTGACTGTTGTAGTATATATTACCGCTATATAGTGGTACCTTATACTAGACTGACTGTTGTAGTGTATATTACCTCTATATATTGTGTACCTTATACTAGACTGTCTGTTGCAGTATATATTACCTCTATATATTGTGTACCTTATACTAGATTGACTGTTGTAGTGTATATTACCTCTATACAGCGTGTACCTTATACTAGACTGACTGTTGTAGTGTATATTACCTCTATATAGCGTGTACATTATACTAGATTGACTGTTGTAGTGTATATTACCTCTATACAGCGTGTACCTTATACTAGACTGACTGTTGTAGTATACATTACCTCTATATAGTGGTACCTTATACTAGACTGACTGTTGTAGTATATATTGCCTCTATATAGTGTGTACCTTATACTAGACTGACTGTTGTAGTATACATTACCTCTATATAGTGGTACCTTATACTAGACTGACTGTTGTAGTGTATATTACCTCTATATAGTGTGTACCTTATACTAGACGGACTGTTGTAGTGTATATTACCTCTATATATTGTGTACCTTATACTAGATTGACTGTTGTAGTGTATATTACCTCTATATAGTGTGTGCCTTATACTAGACTGACTGTTGTAGTATATATTACCGCTATATAGTGGTACCTTATACTAGACTGACTGTTGTAGTATATATTACCTCTATATAGTGTGTACATTATACTAGACTGACTGTTTTAGTATATATTACCTCTATAGATTGTGTACCTTATACTAGACTGACTGTTGTATTATATTTTACCTCTATATAGTGTGTACCTTATACTAGACTGTCTGTTGTAGTGTATATTACCTCTATATAGCGTGTTCCTTATACTAGACTGACTGTTGTAGTATATATTTCCTCTATATATTGTGTACCTTATACTAGACTGACTGTTTTAGTATATATTTCCTCTATATATTGTGTACCTTATACTAGACTGACTGTTTTAGTATATATTTCCTCTATATATTGTGTACCTTATACTAGACTGACTGTTGTAGTGTATATTACCTCTATATATTGTGTACCTTATACTAGACTGACTGTTGTATTATATTTTACCTCTATATAGTGTGTACCTTATACTAGACTGACTGTTGTAGTGTATATTACCTCTATATAGTGTGTACCTTATACTTGACTGACTGTTGTATCACAAAATACATTTAGTATTTTGTTTTAATACTTTTGACATTTCTGTATTAATCATCTTTTACGTTTCCTTGCAGTGGTCGAAGACGATTGCATCAATACTGGATAGGTTTCTGTTTGATATTGGCTTGATGTAAAAGTGGAATTGTTTAGCAGGTTTTAACTTAGTGGCCACTGAAGTATACAGTATAATTTTCAAGAACGGAAGTCGTCTTTAATATGAAACGTGCAACTACATGGATCATGAAAAACATTCACTAAGTATAAAATGTGAAACTATCAACGAAAACATTATCAGGAAAACCCATTTACTTGGTTATATAACGTTGGCATATACAGACCCTGGACGGTTTTTCTTGTCCGTTTAAACGCAAACGCAACGCAAACGTAAATTTTAATTTTTAAAAATATATTTTTACTTTCTAATTCAACGCCCGTATAGCTCAGTGGTTAGAGCACTGGTCTCGTAAACCAGGGGTCCTACAGAGAAATCTGAAGATTACATCTACTCAGATCAAGACACTAGCATACAACGGCCTGGTCAGACCTTTGCTGGAATATGCATCCTCCGTATGGAACCCACACACCCAGCACAACATCAACAGCATGGAACACATCCAGAGAAGAGCTGCAAGGTATGTCACAAACCGTCATCGTAACACGTCCAGCGTCTCTGATATGCTTTATATCCTCGGGTAAAACCAGTACAAGAAAGGAGGAAGGAAGCTAGACTAGTGATATAATACAAGATTGATAGAGGTATGGTTGCCATCAGTAAAAAAAACAGACTGCTACCACCAAGACGACTTGCCAGAAACAGCAACACCAGATCCTTCCAACTCCTTACCTGCAGGACTGATTCAAGAAAGATGTCTTTCTTTCCCACTGTACGTGACTGGAACTCCCTACCACCAGACATCACAGATGCAGCCACAATCTCGGCCTTCAAGGCCAGAGGGACGAAGCTCCGAAACCCTTAAAGCTTCTTTTATCCTGTTTTTAACTTACAAACTTATTTTAACTGTGTCAGTCCTGTCACATGCGAAACTACATATTGCAGAAGCATCAACCTGTTGGTGGACGCAATAACCGGAAGCCCTCCATTACACGGACATTACCCCCAACAGCTCTCCTATACTGCCGCCACCCCCGCCGCCGCCTCCTCCTCCTCCTTCTCTCTCTTTAATGAAAGACAACAACGACGTGAAAGAAAATTTCCTGAAACTAAAGACGCATTCGATGAAACATAACCTGCTGTTCTCGGGAATTCCGGATAATGAGAGTCATATTGAAAACACTGAAACTGTTCTTAGATCATTTATTCAGGATCAATTACAAGTAGATAATGCCGGCAGTAACGTACACCGCCTGAGGCAACGACGTGACGGCAAACCTCGTAGCATAATTGTCGTATTTGGCCAACTTCAATGATTTGGAACGAGTCCTCAAAAAAGCTCCTATCAAGCTGCAAGGTAAGCCAGAGTTTAGTGTGCAGCGGCAAAATTATTAGAGACACATTTTTCCTGTAGGAAAAAATAAAGCGACCAGTTAATTATATTTTAAAACTCGAACCAGGAAGATTAATCAACCGTCCACTACAGAAATAGGACGTTGAGGACTACATCGTTTGCTCTCAGCAATTAGACAAAATCCATCATGACACACGAAATGTTAAAACTTCTTGACGATTAACAAGTGTGGACCTGATTAAATGATCAGAGAAGGTAGCAAAAATAATAACTTGCTTTCTTGGAAAACTGACACTTACCAAGAGATTGTTAAGGCAAGTTAAAAGTGAATTAGTGAATGACATGAGCCAGACGTATCTAAGTAGTTTAATAGAAACACGTGTATGTCCGAAATTCCAATTATTTAGATCAAGCTCTGAAGTAGCATTTCAAATTGAAAAAGGTCCGGGTTTAGAACGTGTATCGTGAGATTGCGTACTGAATAGTAATTCACTTTAGTTCACATTCTCATGATAAATTTTAATATAAATAGGATCTTACACTCGTTTCCATTTCATATGAGATTTATGAAACGAGCCTAAGAATTTTTCAATTCAGCGAGCCTCTGGCGAGTTTGATAAATTTCATATGAAATGAAAACGTGTGTTAGATCATTCTTATCACATAATCAAGATTTGTGGCATTAATTCGTGTAAAACGACAATTTTCATGCAACCTTGAAATGTAAAAATCCGCCATTTTAACTCCAGTGCGTAAGTCTATGACGTCATGTACTTGTCCCAGTCGTGACGTCACAATTGAAACAATTGAAACTTTCAACCAATCACAGGGCTGATGGGTCATATTACATGGCTTAATACGCAATACAATATGACATGGGTATATTCTCTAATAACACAGTACATTATGTGATAACTTATAATACTAATAATACTCAGTATTGCCTTCAAATAAACAGTCTGAAAAATCTCCTTGTCGAGATGAAAGTACTAAAGACGTATTTTCATTTAATATTATTTTTGCGCCTGTGAGGATCATTTTACTGATATTTTACATATGTAATTAATATGTATATGTGTTGTCAACGGTACAATGTAAGACGGTAAACCGCTCGCTCGAAAGACTTTGAACCTGTTACAAAATCAATAATGATTAAATGATTTCTTTTAATCGAACAGTCGCACATTACCCAGTGATGCCTGGTATACGTAGTTGTTCATGGATGAGCAGGTAAATACTATGAATCGCGAATATTTTGTCAATAAAAGTAGTCCAAGGTGTTGATATTTTATTCGATAGTAAAGCTCAAGAGAGATATCCGCCACCGCAATCACAAGCTTGAATTTATTTTAAACGGGGACCAGAAGGCAAATATCGGAAATACCAACATTGTGTATTAGAACTTGAATTTTCGGATGAAATATTGAAATATTCAATATGTTAAATCATATGAAAAACGAATATTCGATTGAATGTTATTCGTGAAAACGTAAACGTGACTCTTCGTTAAAGAGTAAACTAGAATATCTAGCCCGTTGTGTTCACGTCTACAGCGTAAACTATTTCTCTCCGTCAAAGTGTATACTGGTACATCTAGCCCATTATATTTCTCCGTCAAAGTGTATAATGGTACATCTAGCCCATTGTGTTCACGTCTACAGCGTAAACTATTTCTCTTCGTCAAAGTGTAAACTAGAATATCCAGCCGATTGTGGTCACGTCTACAGCGTAAATTATTTCTCTCCGTCAAAGTGTATACTGGTACATCTAGCCAATCTTGTTCACGTCCCTAGCGTAAAATATTTCTCTCCGTCAAAGTGTATACTGGTGCATCTAGCCGATTGTGGTCACGTCTACAGCGTAAATTAATTCTCTCCGTCAAAGTGTATACTGGTGCATCCAGCCGATTGTGGTCACGTCTACAGCGTAAATTAATTCTCTCCGTCAAAGTGTATACTGGTACAAGTGTATACTGGTGCATCTAGCCGATTGTGGTCACGTCCCTAGCGTAAAATTTTTCTCTCCGTTAAAGTGTATACTAGAATATCTAGCCAATTGTGTTTACGTCTACAGTGCAAAAAAAAATCTCTCCGTTAAGTTGCAAACTGATATATCTAGCCCATTAGGTTCAATTAAAAATCTTTATTATTGTAAGGCTTGTCAGTTTATCAGTAAACATATAACAGTTAAATACAGAGTCAGACCTGCCATAATGCATTTGAGAATGGACAGAATATACTTAAATAAGGTTTAACTGTTCGTAATTCTTAATTAAGTAAACATATCTACATGACATAGTTTGTTCCGTGTGGTTAGTTGTACAAAATATTTTTTATGACGTTGCAAACAAATTTCCTTGTAATATGGTTTCAACATCTTTCTCTGTAACAACAATGTCTAACAATGTTTTGAAACCGTCCTGTTCCGACATCCAGCGTATGTGCTTATAAACGTGACCTACATTGTAGTCAGCGCAATTCAGTTCCGCTTTGGAATATATTCATATAAATAACGTTGTGTTACTATAACGATAATCATATAACTAAATGTATGGATCGGATATTACGTTTAATGTATTTTTAATCTGCAAAGAGCAATTAATCTGAACAACAAAGTCGTTTGAAAGCGCCTAATTCATCTCAGAAGTAGAGTCGCTAGGATTTCATAGACCCTGCTTGCTTATACATGTATTTCCAACATGCCAACTTCGGTAGAACGACCTGATTTGTCAATCCGTGCATGAGAAACATGTAAACACCATTCATTTTGAATCTGGAATTGATGTTTTGGACTACGCTGAATCTAAAACACTATTCAAGTGCCTAATTTAGATCTGTACTTAGGATTCACTCAGAGATCCCGACCATCATATTCTCTTTTCCGGATTTGAACTCTTCATTCTCTTTGCGGATTTCATAAACGAAAGCAACGAGGCAATACATTCCAAGTTCTTAAAGTATCGTTTCGTAGAAGTGATCGGGGATCTCACACTTGTGCAAATCGTGAGGTTTACCTGATACGAAATTTTGATAAGCCGTACTGCGGTGTCCGTCGTCCGTCTGCCGTCCGCCAACTTTTTCTTTTGAACGACTTCTTCTGAAGAACTGGAGGACCTAGGTTCATGATATTTGGATGGAATGCTATAAAGTTTCCTAATTGAAATGACCTTTACCTAGTTTCAAGGTCACATGGGTCAAATATGTTAAAAACTTAAAACAACAATATCCTAACAATCATTTGGACTAGAGTCAAGATACTTAGGTATGTTAAGTAGACCAGCAGTGTAAATATTTTTCTTTATTACAGTAATGAGGTCAAAGGTCAACTTTAAGTGCTAGTCAGGGGTCAAACATTTACACGGGTTAAAAGCTTTAACAATCTTCTTCTCAAGTTCCATAGGGCCAGGTTTATGGTATTTGGCCAATAGGTACCTGGATGGAGTGCTATAAAGTTTTTTCTTTAAAATGACCTTGACCTACTTTCAATGTCACAGGAGTCAAATATGTTAAAAACTTCAAACTACGATATCCTAAGAAGCATTTGGTCTAGAGTCATGATACTTGGGTATGTTATGAAGACCAGCTGTGAATCGTTTTCTTTATTACAGAAATGAGGTCAAATGTCAACTTTAAGTGCTAGCCGGAGTCAAAGGTCTCTGTGGGTTAAAAACTTTAAAATTAAAATATGAAATTTCCAACAATAATATCTTAAGAAGCGTTTAAGAGATGTTAAAATGTCTTGTGTTCTAGTTACCAAATTTGGTCTGCAGTTACCTATATGTCAGTTTCATGTAACAAAATAAACAGGTGAGCGATACAGGCCCTCTGTGTTTCTTCCTTACACTGAATTTATATTAGGAATGTTATCAATCTATTAAATAGATCTATATATGACACTATTGCAAATAACTTTTTGTATTTTGTGAAGAAAGAAAGGTGTTTGGTAGAGTTTGCTATGGGAGGTTTACTTTTTGAATTGGAATCGTATGGCATAAAAGGGAAAATATTACGATGGTTTAGTAATTATCTTTTCTGATAGAAAGCAGAGAGTATCAACAGAGGGGGTTTTGTTTAACTTATAGGCATGTAAATGTAGAAGCAGGTGTACTCCAAGGCTCGGTCCTTGGTCCATTTCTTTTCTTAATCTATATTCAAGATATAACAGAATGTGTAACAAGTAAAATAAAACTTTTTGCAGATAATACTTCTCTCTTTGAATTAATAGATAGCAATCAAAATGAAATTGCAGTGATATTATCTAATGATCTAGGTTATATTAATGCATGTGCAAAAATATGGGATATCGAATTTAATTCACTGAAAACTGAATCTGTAATCTTTTTGGGGAAAACGGGAAAAATCATCATGATATCTTATTAGGTAATGAAACTGTAATTAGTAAAAAAAAAAACATAAACATCTTGGTTTAACTTTTAATAGTGATGGGAAATGGACATATCATATTGGCAATATTTATGAGCTAGCGTAAAGAAGAATGAATATATTAAGAATGTTAAAACACAAATTGGATAGAAAAAGTCTTACAACAAGATATACTTCTTTTATTCGACCAATACTTGAATATGGGGTTGTAGTATGGGATAACTGTAGTAACCAAATAAAAATATTCTAGAGTCAGTTCAACTAGAGGCATTAAGGATTATTACAGAATTGGGTAGAGGGACCTCACATAGTAAGCTTTATGCAGAAACTGGACTTGAATCACTTCGGTGCAGGCGAAACAATCATAAACTACATAGAAGGCATCACTGAACCATTACCTTTACAACAATATAAATGTAACATATCACTAAGAAATAGCCGTATGTGCAATCCCCCTTTCTGTAGAACTGTGAATGATTATTAGGTTATTAGGTTATTTTCTCTCAATGTGTAGAGAATTTATCCTTCTATCTGCAGAAACATTAAAAGCGACTTCCCTTCAACAAGTTAAAAAGTTCATAGAGTCTGATAATATAAACAACACTAAAGAAATAGCTACATTTAAGAACTATGGGCCAAGAACATTTAATATCATAATTTGTCAGCTAAGAAATCATGCTAGCAACCTAAATAGTGACATGTGTGGATCTTCTGAATGACACACCAGTATATAGATGTGAACATGAAAATGAAAATGCTTTTAATGCAATTAGTGTTTACAATTTCTCAACTTAGTATAACTGTTTACCATGAGCATTTTAATCTACAAACTCTATCAAATGACTGCTTAATAGGCAGCACTGATATCAACATATCCATTTTACAAAGTATATCTGACTATATTTGTCGAACTAATAGACTTGATATGTAATCTCACTCACAACCAAATTTTAAATTGAAACAGAGACGTATATATTACTTATACGTCTCTGATTGAAAGTGAGGCTGATGTATTGAAAAGCTGCATTGTCCGAATGTGCTCGTATATGTGGTGGAGAGTCTAGGGGACAATGCGAAGTTCTTCAACTTTGACACCGGTACGTGTTCAAAGCTTCGTCGACAAACCGAATCAATGTTGGCGATATCACTCAACTGATCTTGTTTCAAATCCTTATTCTGTCAAGCCTCTATGCAATATGTG